CCCCGCGTTATTCAATTACACCCGCGCCGGCGGGGCCCAAGTGCGGCTGATAGTTCGCTAAACGCGATGGCGATGGCGCGGACCCGCAGCCGCCCCGCCATCGTCCCCTCCTTTCCCGCAGCTGGAAGGAAACCCGCGAGGTGAACTAATGTGCAAACTGTACAAACACCGTAGTAGTCACGTGCGACCTTGGTAAGAATGAATTAGTGCCAAACGTGTGTTTCATTTCCATTTGTCAATTAATGAGCTCAATATTTTTTGAGTGCATGATCTTGTTCTGTGAAAAAGGTTGCTGCAAAAACGAGCACAATGCTCCCAAAAGTATTGAGAATTTTTTCCAATAACGAGTTCGAACGAGTTAGCGCATACTGAGAGCGAATTATGAGAGGAATAGCGAAACGGGAGTTGTGGCAAGATTTTCAGTTAACATTTTCGCAAATGCACTGTCAGTGCTCACACTGACTGACTATGCATTTGTGTGTAGCTACGCACAACTGTCAACATATATGACCTACTCCAAAATTTGTACGTAACTAAGTGCAATATTGCACATAATTATGCGTAATGCCGTCATCACTGTCACTGAAAAGGGAAAAAGTTGATGGGGGGGGGGCTGTTATGACTGGGCAGAATTTAGGAGATATACTAATGCCCTATTTTGCCTGCACATTTGCCGCTACCAAAAATCACACATTCTCCATTGTAACGAAGAATCAAACCGAGAACCTTTTGGCGAGTATTACCTATTACTTGATGACTATTAACTGTATTACCAAATCAATTACCGAACGACTGACCCGACTATTACCTGAGTGGATCCCCTCGTGTACTTACGTTACGCGTGTGCATAGTGGTTTGAACACTACGTCTAAAATAGTACACTGATAAACCAAGTGTTCAACTGCTCAACACTTCCAAGTATTGAACTTGCGGTTGCACACTTACAATTGTTGAGCAGTTAGTGTACATAGAAATTCTGCATGCACTCAGAAAGCCCTACTTTTGGTTCATGTGCGTATTTCTCTTTAATAAATAAAAAGCATTTTGCACTTGATTTGAGAGCAACTTCTGTTGTACTGAGACAAAAACTTTTGATTCAATTACCAAATGCACTTGGGCCCAAGTTTATTTGGTACTTAAATCAAGCGTTTTTGTCTCAGTACAAGAGAAATTGCTCTCAAATCAACTGCAAAATGCGCTTCAATCATTTAAGAGAATTTCGCTCTTGAAGCAACAATACGGCTGTTTGAGTGTGAACCCTGGGGCCCTACTCCTCCGACTTGCAAACACACCCTGCAGTGCGCTGCAAGGTGAAGCAGCGGCGGCGGAAAACTCTTTTCCCCCGATAGATCGATAGCCTCGCGGCAGGCACCACCACACCGCGGCCACACCGCGACGGCACAACCCCGATTGTGAATGAGATCGCATCATGATGTGACTCGCGTTCAGCGTCAGAGCCGCGAGCGGAGCAAAGCAGAGCAGACTGCTTCTCCAACCAACGGCAGCGGCGGCGGCGCTGTGGGGCCTTTCACTCATTTGGCACAATGGGCATTGTAGCGCGTCGCGGCGCCCTGCTTGGCGTGCAGCGAACGCGCCTGATCAGCATCTCCAAGGGGACGTGTGAGCCGAGCACGGGTGGCAAAGTCCCCGCCCAATCCGCCGGTGAAAGGAGGGAAAAGGGAGTCTGCTTCTCCGAGGCTCCCCATTCACAGAAGAGACTCCCGAAAGCGTTTGGATCCGTCCTCCGTGGGGCAGGCGGGCAGGCAGAGTACAGGGCAGGGAGGACTCACCAAATGCAGCCGCGGGACGTCGTCACGGGTCCTCGCGCGGGGTGACGACGCCCTCCTGGTGCTGCTCCCGGCCGCGGGGTCCCGGCACCTGGGCGGAGGAGACAAACCGTCTCCGGGTCGTGCGCCGTGCGTGGCCGCGTGCGTGCGTGCGTGCGTGCGCGTGCGTGCCTACGTGCGCGTGCAGCGACGGACCCGCCTGGACTGAGACTGGCCTGGCTGCGCGCCCCGCGCCCGCCGCCCCGCCCGCGGCCCCCGCCTCCGGAGCAGCGCGCGGTGCCTGCGCACTGGCGCGCACGCGCAGCCTGGGCCGGCCGCCGCGCGGGGGCGACACCTGCCACCGCTACGCGCCGGGGGCCGGGCCCGACCCCAACAACTCCATCGTCGATTTATTGCGCGGGCGTGTCAGCGTCGCCCACCGACACGACGTGTGGGACACGCGCTGGACACGTCCCGCGCACGCATCGCGGGAACGGGTTATTTTAAACCCAAACTCTTTTTCTGGTTTGGCTAAGGGTAGCGAAGCCTTTTATACAGTGATTTCAAACCGTCTGTGTTCTCTGTGTGTGCGTTTGTCTGTGGGCACAGGACCCATGCCGGGTCCGGACTCGACCCTTCGTTTTCTATCATGAAAACTGCGAGAAAACTGTATAGAATTCGGTCTCTCTTGCCAAGAAAAGCCAAAAGCAACCAATAACAAAAAAAAAAAAAAAAATATTTGAAAAATATGAAAATTTTATGATTATTGTTTCTCGAATTGAAAGGTGTAACTCGTCGTGAAAGTAGAGCCCGATTGAAATGTTTGTACGTTTTGCTGTATCTTAAAGTTTAAGGGTTTCTTAAGGGAGTGATGTAGGAGTTCCTCAAAGTTTTCCCCTTTTCCTCAATAAAGCAGACATTGCTTTTACCGCGTAAAGGATACACGGCTCATGCGAGTCGGCCTTCCCCTCCCTTCTGTTACGTATTTCACACAACTTTTCATATCAAGGTGTACCTTTAGATTTTGAAAAGATCTCGGCTCGGGTCGACTGAGACAGTTTCTCCATGTGTTTTCGCTATGTTTACGTAAAAGTATTCAAGCCCATATTCATAATCCTTGTGAATAGTTCTTAGAATAGCCTCTTAGAATATCCGACGTCTTGCTCTACGGCTCTTAAGGTGTGGGCAAGCGGATGATCCATCAGACCCATTACGCTCTATACTACGGCTGCGTGTGCGCGCGTGTGTGTGTGTGTGTGAAAGAGAGAGGGGGGAGGGGCGCTCTGCTGGATTAAAGTTCTCAGGTGAAATGAACAAATTCCGAGACAGAGATTCTCTCAGGGGGAAAACTGCGCCGCGACTCGCGGGGAAGCAGGCAAGAAACACGCGTCTCTGGCTCATGATGATGCGATAACCGAAAACGTCGCAGAGGATGGGAAGGGGTAGTACAGCCAGGAAGGAGGAGGCTAAGAGGAGAAGAGTAGTGAGGGGCGGGAGAGGCTGGAGGTTAAGAGGGCGGTGCGCAGGCGGGCGGGGCCGGAGCGGCACGCCGGGGGCACGCGAGGAGAAGATGGCTCATTTTCCCGAAGAGAGATTTGCTCACTGCTCCGCTCAGCTTCGTGTCTCTTTGAACTCCCCGCACCCCGCCCATTCCACCGCGCCACGCCCCACCCCGCCCGGCCACCACGGCACATCCCCGGCTCGCGGTTTGCATCTGTAATGCGGCTCGTCGGCGTTGCCGTAGGGAAAGGTGTAGTTTGTGGCGCTGGGCGGCGGAAGGTAGGAGTTGGCGGCAGTTTTCAGGGTGGTTTGAGTTACAGGCATGCCCCACGCGTTGACAGTCGAGGGGGAGGAGGAGAACAGGCAGGCAAGCGTGTCGGCGCTGCTTTCTATAGGTATTGCCCGTTCCGGCCCGTCAGCCAGTCTCATAAAATGTCGTTGAAGGAGTCTAGCTTTGGCGGAGCGGGGCAGAGCCGGCGGCAGGGGCAGCGCCGAGGAGTTGTGTTGGTCCAGCGCGTGTCTTTTGATGAGAGCAAACAGCCAGAGGGGTTGGTTTGCGCCGTGCAAAGGAAGCGAGGTGAGGTGAGGAGGAGGGGAGGGGAGGAGGGAAGCGGGGAGAGAGGAGGGGGGAGGGGAGTCTGGGTTTGACGAAAAGGAAGCGGCAGCGTAGGAGAGGAAGAAGCGAGCCGCGCCGCGAGACACACTCCCCGCGATGAGCAGGAGGAGACCTGCGAGACACTCGCACTTACTCGGCACACCCCAACGACCCGTCAAGGACATCCGAACCGTACCAAATCTGTTGCATCCAACTCTCAGCACAGAGCGCACCCACCAGTGTTGTATCTGCTATGCACTGGAAATACAAAGGTTGATGATTGTTCAATGAGAAAACAAATGTGCTAAAGTATGATACCATCAAAAGATGCTACCTTCAGAGCAGTAGTACTCTGAAAATGGTACTCTACTAATGGCTTTGCGGACACATTCATGGACTTAGTTGTGACCATGAAAAACATTTCTCATGGCCATCCCTTGCCATAGAGCATGGTCAACGGATGTTTTCATGGTTTACTGGTTGCATACATCTATATGGTCACAAAACTCTATGCTTAAATTTATGTCCATGACTCATAGACAGTCCCATGGTTATATTACCCAGGGTTCTACGGCGGACGGACATAATGATCGTAGCACTCCGCAGGTTAGTGAAAAAAAAGAACCTTGTCCAATGGACCTTTATAGGGGGTTCCTCATTTGAGCTGAGCAGCGTAGAGTGCCTGTGCTGTGGCACCAGGTCTGCGGGACTGCCTCTGCCTACCTGCCAGGCGCGCGGCCTGAATGGCAAACGCAGTGAGCCTGGCGCTGCCTGGTCGCCTCTGGCCGTCTCTGGCCTGGCCCGACGCTAATTGGTACGTATGGCGCTAATTTCCGCTTTTAATGTAATCAGGCTTGAGCCCGGATCGCCGCGGCCGTAGCTGACCCGCAGCGGCACTGAACGTCCTCCAGCAGGACAAGTTCCTGAATGTCCTGACTGGAGGTGTTCATGGCAAAAAAAAGGTCATGAACAAAAACTAGACAACATTTGGTAAAATGGTCATGATGACAGCTTTTCCATAGGTCACGTGGACAAAAAATCCAGGTGGAAACGTGACGCTGACCTTAAAAAGAGGTTTTCAAATTTTCAAATTTACGGGGTTCTCCATATGAAAAAGACAAAAAGCCAAAAAAGATTTGTGGTCAACGGGTTAGTCCATTCGCGGAAGAGCCACCTCGCCTCGGTCAGGCGGACCTGACCCCGCCGCACCCTCCTCACAGGGCGGACCGGCGGCGCTGACGCGAGGGCCGCCCCAACGCCAATCCGCAAACGCTGAATTGAAGAGGGCAGGCGTCGCCACGCCTCGACGCGCGTGGAAGGGTCCGGCCCGGCGCAGCGGTGCGGGTGGCAGATCAGCCGAATCAATTAGGAGGATGCCTTCACCTGCTGTCTTTCGCCTCCCTTCGTAAACTGTGCACCACTTACACTGGAATTTACCAAAAGTATCACTGGAAAAACAAAGGTGCTAGATAGCACCCTTTTTAGGGTGCTATTGAATTTTTAAGGAGGTGATACTGCACTAGTGCCTTTGTAGAGGAACGATTTGTGCCAAAAATAGCACCTTTGGGGGGGCAGTAGCACCTTTCTATAGGCACTGTTTCACCAACACCTTTAAAAGGCATTAGATGGCACCTTTGTTTTTCCAGTGTACACGTTGTTGCAGATTGATATGACTTTTAAAGGCGGTAGAGCAGAGTACACGTGTGCCCTGTTTTGCCGGAGTGGAGGCCCACAGCCTTCTGCAGCTGCTGCAGAGGAGGAGCAGCACCGGCAGCAACATGAGCAGAAGCGCGCCGTCGCAGAATTTTAAGTTTACAACGTGACTGCTGTGCTTCCGGCGACCCGGCACCTCCGAGGGAAAGAGAATGGTGGGGGAGGGGGGGGGAGTGACACGCGCGCAGCTCTCATCTCATTTGGAATATCGCGGCCACGAGGCTGTGACATCACAGCCCCCAGTTTTAGGCGACGCTAAACTGACTGCCTGCCCAACTATCTGGTAGACCGTCTGTCCGACTGGTCGGGAAGCAGTGACGCGGCCGGCCTGAGCCTCTCCCCCGAGGAGGACGGGGGCCCAGCCTTATGGACCACGAGGCGGAGCCTCAGGCGGGGCGCTCCCTCTCAACCGGGTCGACTGACTGCCTCGGCGGGCTTGGCATGCAAGGAGAGCGCCTCGCGTGGTGGGGCCGCTTTGGTCTTGAGGCATCAGGGTGGGGCGGGGTGATCGGCCCCATCCGTCCAATGTCGACGGCGGCGCTTTGTGTTTAGGAGGGAAGCAATTCGCGGGCGGGGGAGCCCCCCCCCCCTTTCTCTACCGCCCGCATGGCAGCTTTTGGGATCACAAAGGAGTGGCGGGCGCGGAAGAGATTTGAAAAAGAGTGAAACAGAGGGAGGTGTTGTCAGAGAGAGCGAGAGCGGCTGCATTTCCAACAGCACGGCTTGACAGGATGAGATGAGCGGGAAACACCCCTCTCTAAAATGTTTTATTTGCGAAAGTTGAAACTGTTTGTGCGAGCAGAGCGGCAACGCTCCCGCCGCGCCGCACCTAAATCCCCGCGATGAGTACCTCGTCGCCGCCCCCATCGCTCCCCCCCCC